TTTTGTCTTTTCTGCTTTTATAATTGTTTTGGTTTTTGCCTCTCTGACTTCTCTTGGTCTCTTCTCTCCCTCCTCCNCATTAAGAATGTTCCTCCATCTTAATGCTCTGGAACGCATTCGTATCACTCATGTTGCCAAAGGGATATTGAGATTTCAAAAGCAAAAAGTGGACAATGAAGTGTAAAGAAACGTTAAGTACTTATCGAAGAAAATACCTGTCAAATCAAATTGCACGAAATTCTCTTAAGAATTTAGTCTTTAAATGACTTCCTGTCTATTGCTCCTGAAGATACATTTAGAAGTAGACATTAGTGGCTAGTGAAAATGGTCTCACGCATTAATCGGAATTTCAAATCATTTGGCCATAACATTGAAATAAAGATTCGTGTGCCATAGAATTACCTCCACGTGGTGCACCCTGGGCAACGTATACTCATACGGCAGAACAGTCTATTAACTGGCAGTTGACCTCTGACTTCAAACTACCCTCACCCCATTGTATGTTATATTCGACTACTTTCACAGTACTCACCTCACATTTTTTCCACTTTTGTGTCTGTCACTTTTACATCTTTGAAACTCTCTTCTGTTCCCCCTCTCCTTCTCGACTTGTTTCACTTTGATGTTCCTTCCCCTTTCTGTGAAGCCTGAAGTCAACTAAAGGACTAATGATAACTTTCACAACGCCTGCCATTTGATATAAATAAATAAATAGATTCGTAAGGGGCTTGCCATATGAGGGCAAAATGCACGAGGCCTTCCGAAAACGGAGTATGACTCTTGATGCTATCAATTGCCAGTGCCATAGGGAATAATGATTTTTTGACTTCAAATGATCAAATTGTTAACTTCTCAAAAGCCAATAAATTGAACTTGATACATGATTAATATTAAATCGACCTCAAATCATCCAATTTTATGTTCGCCCAATCTTTACTCTCGGAGGCAGAAGAGAGAGATGGTTGATTTATCTGATATATATTACGAAATGAAGTTAAAACGGTCAATATGTCATTAAGTTGTGACGTTGACGGCCAAAGTGTGCGCAGCGGTGATCTAAGGTGGTGTTCAAATTTGAAATAGACCGTTTGAACACCGAGGGGGGGGGGGGGGGGGGGGGGGG